TTTATTTCAAACTAATATTTTCAGGTTTTTCCGGTCAGGAAGCAGCAATCAGAGCTCCAGCACCAATGATGAAATGAATCAGATGGAAACTAATGTTTACATCTCTTTGCAACACGGTTGGTCTCAGAATAACATCAGTATTATTTTCTTCAACTCTTCCTTTATTGTGACTCTGTTTCAGAAATAAATCAATTTCTTTAAAGCATCAAACAGTAAAATCAGTGCTGCTTTTGTCTGATAAACACCAAATAACACCAGAGTTAAAGGATTTAAAAACCTGTGGTCCGTTTCACAAAGCAGGTTTACTGAAAACTTTAAGTTTTCAGAACCTGAAAACAGGAAAACTTTGTTTCAGTCACCATAGTAACATTCTTCCCAGAGCTAACCTGGTTGCTGGCAGGTTTTCTTCAGTAAACTCGGAGATGGAGATCCTGCTGAAGTGGACCCCAGCTTTCCCTACAGCCAATCACGCTGTTTTATTTCCTGATTTGGTCTGATTTTTGTCTTAGTTTTGTGAATAGAAAATATATATATCATTCACTAGGTCCGTTACACTCATTAGGTTTTAAAAACAAACCTTGCATGTCAGTTTGAAGAGGATATCATTTAAGAATGATCAGCACTTTTCCACAGAGAATGAAATATTTATAGGGAGAGGATTCTAAAACTCAGTTGACAGGGCATTGTTTGGTTTGTTTAATATGACTGAGATGCAGATCATTTTATTTTCATTTAGTTATACTTGCAGTAAATGAAGAAATACTGAAATTATTTTCAGATTACACATAAATAGATAAATAGATTCATTAATTCTGGGGGGCGGGGGTAATTACTTTAGTGTTAGGATTAGGATTGACTAAATGATAACCTAATGAGCCTACTGGCACAATCTGAGGCATTCTGTGTGACTGATAACCTCTAATAACGACCATTTATTGGGATGATAACATCCGAAGCGCAGCTGCAAACAACCACTTAGTATTTACTGTGTACATAAAAAAGACTGAATCATCATGAGGAGGAACGCATGAGATGATCCACAGGTTCTATATATAAGAAAAACGTTTATAGACTTCATTTTCAACTGCTGCCAGAAGATTTCACCTAAATAGATAAATTGATCTATTGCCATTCAAGAAATAATCCCGTAATATTACTGCAGTAACGAGGCTATGGCAAGCCGTTCTGAGTATGAGGGAGAGGGGCTTGAACTCAGAACCTCAGGATTCCAAGCGCAATGCTCTAACCTCTAGGCCACCACTCTAATATTACTGGCAAGTTTTGGATTATTTGAACTATGTAAAAAAAAAAAAAAAAGTTCAGATATCATAAATACATATTCAGTCAAGATCTGTAACTCTGTTTATCTGTCTATTAAACNATATTCAGTCAAGATCTGTAACTCTGTTTATCTGCATATTATCCTTTTTTATTTTATTAATTTTTTTCATTTCTGAATTAAAATCTCTAGTTCCTGTTGCCTGTTGTCATGGTGACGCCACTCTCCACTCTAGGCCCCACTCTTATATTACTGGTCAGTTTTTGTATTATTTTAAAAATGAAAAAAAAATTTCAGATATCATAAATACATATTCAGCCAAGCTGATAAATGTCAGAACGTGCACTTAAAATGTGTAAACATTTCTAGATATATAAAACTAAATTCTTACTGGTGCAATTTTGTTTTTTAATTTCTTCAATTCAGTTTCTGCTACAAAAATGTAATTTGGAAAATATATTATTAGCTACAGTTCAGACTAGGAGTGTGATATTTATCAGGAAGTATCTTATTTTAGTGATCTACAAACGAAAATCTACAAATGCATTTAATAAATGTAGAAACAGCCTGCCATAATAGCCCACTGCATATAATCTTACGCTCTAACTCAGGCAACAATCTTCTTCGCCATTTTTCTCTCCTTTGCAGCTGTAACACTGTTTCTCTTTTTTTTAATCACATTCTCCTTTTTTATTTATTTATTTTTTGCTTTTCTGAATTAAAATCTCTAGTTCCAGTAGGGTGAAATAGGCACTTCCTGTTGCCTGTTGTCATGGTGACTCGTTGAATCTGTGCTCCACTCAGGTTGGCTTTTCTTACTTGTTGCGCACGTGCTAAACTCTGAGTGTTTGGAGTTGATCGAACTAATTGATAGCGGCTGTTATGACATGAAAAACTCAGAGTTCCCAACTTTAGGCTAGATCAATTTAGAGTTGCAGATTTGAATCTGAGTTTGTTAAACCTGCTTTGTGAAACGGACCCTGAATCCTTTTTTGCTGAATTTCATCTTTCTATCAGAATTTATTGAGCAATATTCGGCTTATGCTGAGGAACATGAAAAAATACATTTATATCATTTATATCATTTTTTATTTTCTAGTGACCTCTTCAGTCTACGAGACGATCCAAACCCACAGAGCCACTGGAGGAGGTAAAGTATATATTTTAATATAGAGATGTTGTTGATTAAGAAGATGGATTATAAACAGCTGAGATTAAATTCTGAAATATTTTAAAAACAGATGAATCCCAAGCTTTTATTTAGCAACAAATGTAAACAATTTTAAAACATTAGGTAGTCAATACATTTTCAGGAGATTTTTTAAACATAAATTTATGTTTTCCATGTATTCATTGTACAATTTTCATAGAGAGGCCTGATCATTCAGAGGAAAATACTGATTACGCTAATGTGAAACCACAGAATTACAGAGCAAGATGAAGGTCAGGTAATCATTTCCTTTGCTTACACTGTCAGTGGTATAATCATTCATCTATGATCTGAAGATGCTTATTTTGTTCACATTTAGAGATACGTCTTAAAATGTTTCTTCTTAGCCTTGTTTGGCAAATATCATTAGGGAAATCTTTAAGTTGATTTTTTATAATGTAAGCTCTTTCTCTGCAGGTAATTGATAGTCCTCCATCAACAGATGATCCAGTTTGTTCTACGACCAGCAATAGCTATAGATAATACTGCTGTCATATAGGCTTTAAGTTCAGCTCATTTATTTAGCAGGTTAAATCTAATAATGTTAAAACCTTTGATATTTCTTCTTAAGATAATTATTTCTATGCCGCTTTAAGATGCTAATGCATATTTCATTTTCTTTTATAGCTACATTGCTAAAAATCTGTTAAACAGTACGTATATCTTTTTTAATAAAACTTGATGATTCATGCTGTTAACGTTTTGCAGGACTGCAGTTAAATGATACCAGAGATTAGAAAATACAAACTCTGTTCTTGCTTATACAGAGGCACTTGGAGCTTTTAAACTGTTGCTACTGTATCTTT